CAATTAATCTAAAACATCTATGTGTCAGGTTACATATCAAAAGAAAAAAGTTGTTCAGATGTTTGGTTTCCTTCCATCTGATTGCAGTTCTGATTAGCAGTACTGGAAACAACAAAAGGAGCTGCAGATCAATGTGAAATGAATATTAAGAATAATGTTCTTTGCTAGGTGGCCACCTAGATATGTTGTAGAGTTACCATATAAAGAGAAGAGCTGTGAGAGAAAACTTCCAATAGTTGTTTGAAGTTATAATAAACATCAGGAGATCAATTTTTACCATATAATAGCAGTTTATTGTGGAAGACCTAAGAATATGGCTTAAAACCAGATAAAATTTTCTTAGATCATTGAAATTGTCATTAAACAATAAATTTATTATAAGATGTTAAGATGGTCCTTAACTGCTGGTGTGCTGTTCATGACTTATGCTCTGCTAAGATCATTTTTGTCGTTTTCTCATGAAAGCTTGTTGGAAAATAGTTCATTTCTCGCTCTTCTGCTCAATCAACCATATTCAATATGCTCTTTGCAGGATATTATCGGACTGCTTTCCAATTAGAGGAAGGAAAAGAATCCCCTACCTTACGCTTGCAACTTTGCTCTCGCTGTTGCCATGGCTCATTTTAGGGTTAAGTGATTTCCTGAGAAATACGAGGATAGAACTCATGATTCTTTTGACACTGCAGAACCTGGGTTCTGCAATGGCTGATGTTGTAATTGACGCAATGATCGCTGAGGCAGTAAGATTGGAGAGGTATGTTCTTCTGCGTGGAACTTTTTCGGTCATTTAAAGGAACGTTCCCAATCTGAGTAATTTTATGTAGCTGTAGAAACAAACACATAGTTTTAAATGTATCTGGACCAAAATTAAGCCTTTGACAACACAATACAACAAAAGTAAATGTCAAATTAATCGGATCCAATAGCAGGTTGTACCATGGGTATTTTGTCTATTCAGTTCATGATAAAATGTAGTTATATACAAAAGCCTTGCTTTCATTTGAAGTTTTTGATGATGGAATGCCTGGGTTTGTGTGTATTTGAATTGTTAATTTGTCACCTAATTGTGAGTCTCATTTTACATGCAAATTCGACAGGTTTAGAGTCTGCCATGTACAAAGTGCGCCAAAAAGATTTAGATTAATTTTAGCTGTGCATGAAAGGCATGACTTCTTTTTAATTGAGCTTTACTTGTCAACAGGGCATCATTTGCTGGTGATCTTCAGTCAGTATCTTGGCTGTCTATGGCATTCGGAGGAATCTGTGGTAGTTTGCTAGGAGGATATGCATTAGACAATTTACGGATAGATATGATTTTCCTCCTTTTCTCTGTCTTACCTGCTTTGCAGCTCTTTTCGTGTGGTTTGGTTGAGGAGGGTTCTGTACAAGTTAAAGCATTCTCTGAAGGTTCTGCATTTAATGGTTCTGATATGACGAGTGGAATTATTGATGAAGAAGAGCAATTCTCTGGTGAAAAATCAAAAATTAGTACTTTGAGGAGAAAGAAGAGCCAGAAAAATAGAAAAAGAGCGCCAATGATGGAAAAAATATTTCAGGCTCCTGAAAAAAACGGATCATCAGTGTCTCCGTGGTATCAATCACTGAAAATGGCCACTTACACATTATTTAGGGCGTTCCGCCAGCCAGCCATTTTGAGGTAACTTGTGAAGGAGTTTTAAATTACTTTTTGTGTTGATGTTTTATAATTAATAATCACGAATCAATTTATTTTCATTTTGGAGCTTCTGCTAGAACAATACCAGGCACCAACTGCAGTGTATTATTATGACATGATGGGACCTAGGTCTTGAAAGTCTTCCTGGACCTTCTTTTTAACCTTTGGTGATGCCATTTCTTTCTATTTGTGTACCATATTTGAAGGGGTAACAGGACCACGAAGGGACAGCTTTCGTTGGCATATAAATGGACTTGCATCACCTTAATTGAAATAATGAAACTGCGATTCCAAGAACATTTTCATCAGTATTGGCCTTGTATCACAATTTCTTAAGAAAGATCAAAGTGTCAGTGTTACTTTCAATAGATTAAATTACAGGCCAAGTTATCACTTTTGTGGTGCTTCCATTTGATGAGTTTCATGCTTCCATGTTTCACAGCTCATGGGAGGTTGTGAATTGTTCAGTAGTCTCCCATCTCCTTAACTTTTTGTTTATAATACCATTTCTTTTTTTGTGCATTTTCTTAATGAACTGATGACTGATGTTACGGTGGTTGTTCTCTTGCAAATTTTTCCTTGGGAGTCCAGACCAATGGCTTGGTTCTTTTTGGCTCACGTGACAGTTCCAAATCTCTCGACGGTTATGTTCTATTACCAGACAGAGTTCTTAAAACTAGAGGCATCTTTCCTTGGAACAGCACGTGTTCTTGGATGGTTGAGTCTCATGATCGGGACCTTGACTTACAATCGCTATTTGAAAAAGATGAGATTGCGACATATTCTCATGTAAGTAGATCTCTGACTTGCAAATGTGATGTGATGAAGGAATATTGGCTTAGATTACCAAATACTTATATCCCTCTTTATAATTCATGCAGGTTTACTCAAGTTTGCTTGGCCATTCTGACTGTTCTGGATATGGTTTTGGTTTCTCGAGCTAATGTTTCATTAGGTATCTCAGACAAGGTTACTGTGCTATTTGGTTCTGCTCTTTCTGATGGCATCAATCAATTCAAGTATGTCCCATATTCTCTTATATAAGGTCTTCTTAAAAGTAGTTATCGAACATCTGGAACAGCTAACATCTATTCCATTAAGTATAAAACAAGTATTTCTTCCTTTTGTAGGTTCATGCCCTTTCTTATCTTATCGGGACAGCTTTGTCCTCCAGGCGTTGAAGGGACTTTATTTGCATTATTCATGTCGATAAACAACTTAGGTTCTACGGTGGGATCCTTCGTAGGAGCAGGGTTGGCTTCAGTTCTAAACATCTCTTCAGGATCTTTTGACAATCTCTTTTTAGGCATTGGTATACAGGTTCTCTGCACTTTCATCCCAGTGGTCTTCCTTTTCTTGATTCCAAAGGAAGCTACAGGAATATCAGCATAGATCATACATGCAGGTTACAGATTAGACAACAAAGGCTTTTTTTCTTCTCTTTATGATAGACGGATACTCGTTTTTTGGATTGAGATGAGCTTAAATAGAGCAACATGGTCAATGGAAATTCATATAGTCGACCTCAACTTGCTTGAGATTGAGGCGTAGTAGTTGAGTGGATACTTGTAGCTATCCTCACCTCTGCTTATTAACATCTGTAATAGTAAACATCCAGAAGTTTTAACTGAGAACATTATTCTTGACAGTTGGATTTACCCTTCAAACTTTCTAATTGGTAAGAGGATATTTTATCAAGTTTGATTGAAAGGATCAAGAAGTACACAATTAACAAACTAAGAAAATTATATTCTAATGTAAAAATTCGTAGTAATTCAAAATGTCTATTACATCACGTCATTTAATTTATTTTTTGATAAAAGTCAATAGAAGAAATTAATCAAATAATATTCTAATAAAAAATTGACAGTGTCATTAAAAGAGAGACATTTTGTATTAATTAAGGTCTATACAAATTACTTATCGAAGAAGTTTCAAATGAAATGCGGTATAATGAAAAGTATATTATATTCTAATCTTGCTCTCTGCATTGTCTATCACGAATATTACTCACAAGTCACACCTTTGACGGTATATCATTGTTACTAATCTTGTCTCTCCTAGTATGTTCACATTCCATTTAAACATCATTATCTTTGCTATCTTCATCTTCTGAACGTAACAGTTTTTGACTGGTAAAACCGTTCTATACAATATAGTTGGTCTAACATCCAATCTATAGAACTATCCAGAAGTTTTAGTGATACATTTTTATCACATAAGATATTGTATGCTAGCATCAATTTCATCAAATCCACTCCAATTCAATCTACAACATCCTCTTCAATCTCCCCCATTTTCTTTGATTATGGACTAAGATACTTGAAGCTTCCTCTCTTTGGAATAACTTGTGTATCAATCCTCACTTCTCCATCCGCCTCATGTAATGCAACACTAAACTTGCACTCTATGTGCTTTATTTTAGTCCGCTCCGCCTGAAGCCTTTAGACTGTAGGGTCTGTCTCCAACCTATTGTTAACTTCGTCACATATCTCGTCAATCAATACTATATCGTTTACAAATAACATATACCATGACTTCTTTTTGAATATGCCGTGTCAATTCATCCAACACCAAGACAAATAAAACACGACAAGAGTTTGATTCATGAAGCAACACCATCTTGACTAGTAATAAATGTTCGAGTCTCCTTCACTATTGTTCTCACAAACACTTAAATATTGTAATCTTAAATTCAAAATATACAAAATATCAAAATGTACTTATTTTAAATATGATACGTGAAAAGTTTAAATTAAAAAAATATCAACATACATAATTTTTAAAATAAACAAAAAAATAGGACAAATAAATAGAAAGAAATGATATTGCTCTTGATGTGAAATAGATGATACAACTTCAGTGGAGGGATCGTGCCAAGAAAGACAGCAACAAATACAATAATATTACAATAATAAAATTCAGTTGATCATAAAAGAAAGTGTCAGCAAATAACTATAATAGCTATAACATGGAGGCTGGAGCTAAGGTGCAATAGTGGCCTAGTTTATTTGTAATTAAAAAATTTGAAATTCGAGTTTTAAATATAAAGAAAATATCATTGAACTCTGGCTGAAAAGCCAAAAATAAAAGCTATAACGTGGAGATAACTTAGGAATTGGCAAAAAGCAACTAAAACTAAAAACTAAAGTTTCACAATTTATGAGATTTTTATCAATCTTCTTAATGATTATATTATCATTAAAATCCAAAAAAAAAAAAAAAATTATCTTACACGAAAAAAAAAAAAAAAAAAACTCTTTTGGAATCAACCAAAGAAATCTCAGTAAGCATATTGATTCTTGAACTTGTTATTATAATGATGATAACTTGTTTCTTTGGCAACCGATTTTCTTATTATTAACCATATATATATATATGACACCCCAAACCCTCCAAAAAAACAGAACTCCACAAGGTAGCCATGGCAGTTTTCTTAAAGACCCATTTTTTATTCATTGTATTGATGTTTTCTTGTTTGTTGTTAAGTGGGTCAAAGTCAGTTTTTCATATAAAGGATGTTTTGCCAATTTTACCTGTACAAGTGTCATGGCCCATTGTCAATTCTCTCTACAGTGCTGTTGACCTATTGCCCTCTTTTGTTGGAGCTGTTTCAATCGCTAATAATAGTACACTTCAATGGAAAGGTGCTTGCTTTTACAACAATACTGCTTCATTGGAACTTCACAACAAAACTGGAAGTCGATTTGGCGGTGGGACTATCCATATCAAGGTTTTTTTCCATAAAAAATAATCTTTTTTTGTTATGATTATGGGTAGTTGTTGTTTTCCTTTTATTTTTGATGTTTGAGTGTATCAATTAGTAGAAGTTTTGGGTTTATGGTGGTTTTTTGTTTCATGTCTGTGTTGGTTGAAATTGGACTGCTGTTTTTCGGATTTTAGTTTTAGGTTAGTCTAGAGCAGAGATTTTAGTTTCATTATTGTGATGAACTTGCTCTTATTCGCAATACGAGCTATGTTGCTCGCACTCCGGGGTGCAGGTGTCCGATATGAATGCATATGCAGAGGTCGGATCATTCATGATCTAAATTTTAAATGGGGGGATTTGGCTAAAAGATAGTTTAAATATATGAAAAGAGAGTTATATGTCTAAATTACGAGATGTTGTATGGATAACTTAGAAGGTATAATGGGGAAAAATTTATTGATCAAGAGGAGAATCCGAGAAGGTGATATAAGGAAAAGGACTTAGATAGAGATTTTTATATACAAGGTACTCCACTTTCTTCAATTTCACCTTAGTTTTGATTACTAAAATTATTGTATCTGTCTCGAATTTCTCCATTGATTTTGGTCAAAGTAACCAAAATTGGTTGACCAAACCCAGTATGGATTCCACACCCACACCCATGTCGTGTCAGCATGGGTGTGGTATCAAAAGTGAAAAGTCCGAGCAACTTAGGATGCAATTAGTATTTTTGGTTATCTACGAAGAACCTTGTAGTTTCTTTTTCTTTAAATCTCTTTTTCTATTTGATATCTGTTGCTTTTGTTTTGTGTAGGAGAGAAACTAGGTGGAGGTTAAGCTTCTTTCTTTGCTATGGACTTCTGAAAATTGGCTTTTATCTAATTATTTGAAGATTTTGTATGGGTCAGTAAAGTTTGATTGGAACTAACAAAAACATTTTGGGATGTGAAATGATCTTAGCCAAAAGACATAAAGAAATAAAACATTTTGGTATATTATCTGTATACATTAATCTTAGCAACTGGAAATGGATCTTGAATCGCTAATGGAACTGATGAGGGAAACAATTTATACCTTTTTTGGATTGGATCAAGGCATCAAACTTGTTGGCTGATGACATTGTGCCTTAAAATGGTTGCTTCGTGATGGACGTAAGTTGAATCATGTGTGAGTAATACGTCCGAGCTAAGTGCGCAAGACTTTGAAACTCAAGTCAATAATATTCTTACAAGATATCTAAAACAAATTGAAAGTTTAGGAAATATATACATAGGAAAGATGAGATCACTGTGAGTGTAGGTGCTCGCCATCATCATTTTCCTTTTTGTTGTATATCTGTCTTTCTATCCACATCTCCTATATTCTTGCTAGTTGAGTATAAAAGGGCTTTATAACTGCTCATGGCTGTAGAAAATGGCTTCAACTTGGTCACTTAGAGTGGTCTCTTGAAGTTGCACTATTTTAGAGGTATTGGATGTTTAAGTAGTCATATCTCCCTACATGTGAGTTTATGATTGACATTGATATGATAAATTGTGACATGTGGTTGATGATGTGTTATTGTCAAGTATTGCATGCAAGGAATTTAGAATGGTGGTCTCTGGTGCTAGTTGTGCCCTCTGTGTCTTGAAATAGGCTGATTAGGATGGTTTGCCTGATAATGACGGTGTTGTCAAAGATCGGTTTGAGGCGTGTTTTAGCCCTTAACTAGGTTCAAAATAGGCTGAGTGGTTCACCTTGCTTAGGCAGCGCTTTAGCCACTAAGCCGCTAAGACGTGTTCCTCACCCTTGGATTGCGTATTGATGAAGAAAACACTAAAAATAATTATTTGGCTAATTATAATTTTTTTCAAAGCTTTTATCTTAATAATTGTTGTTTGTATTTATAGTTATTTATAGCTGTTTATATTTATAGTTATTATTTCTGTGTTGCATATATTTTTAATTGTTCTTTTCATTTGAGTCTTTCTTCATTAAAGCTTGCGTTTTATATGTGCTTTGCGCTTAAAGCTCCAACAGACTTCAATAATTCTTCTTTTCGTTTTTTTTTTAAAAAACTTTTCGCTTTTGATATCACTTCAGCCTCTTGTCCTTCTTGTTAGGTTGGGTTCTTTTCCATTGAACAATTTCTCTCTCTTTGTTGGGCTGCATTGGCCCTTATAACAATGTATGTCCCAGTTTCCCTTGAGATAAAATGAGTTGAGGTTAAGGAAGTTATTACTTGAATTCCAAATCTTCCCCTTCAGATGCTAAACGACCCTTTTACTGTAGTGGCTAATTAGCTTGGCACATGTATCTGTTGTGGCACTCTTTTCAGTTGTGTGATCTTTAAATCTATTAACTGCTGCAGCAGATTAGTTCCCAATTTTTTTTTTGAGAAGCTTTGACCATCTGTTCTTCAATAACGGCACTTCTCCATAGATCAGTACTCTTAAGTCTCAACTCTTAAGCTTCTCATTCTTAGGTTGCCTCCTCTGTATAGATTCTGTTGGTGGGATCAGGGAATAATTCTTCTAACATCTCATCTGGACTGGTCTGAAGTACACTAGTCGACATACCAATAACTAGTAATTAGTGGTTGTTTGTCACTGAATACGTACATGCAGTAGATTATGAATGAAATAATTTATGCATTTGTTTTTTCAGTTGATAGAAGACACTGAGGCGTTATTACAAGTCCTAGAGTCTCTATAGTTTTTTCAGTAGATATCCTCTTGCCTAGCAGTGTTTTGCTTCCTTTACCTGTAAATGTGGCTTCACAGCCTTTTTGTGAATTTAATACAAGCTTGCATTAAATTTATTGATTTGCCATCTCAAAAAAGTAGTTTCTTTGTCCAATTTAAGCATTTGATTTTTTGATGTTTAGTTTCTTTGTCCAATTTTATCTTACTTAATCCTTCGCCCTCTCTTACCAGTGAGGAATGGACTGTTATTAATGTCAAGACAATATAATCTTGATACATTGTTACTATATATATTGAACTTTTGGTTGGTCCTGACATAGGACCAATGTGGTAAATCAATAATTCACTAAATTTATGCAATACTCCCTTTGTTTCAATTTGTGTTCTATTTTCCTTTTTAGTACAACAACAACATACTTAGTGTAATCGCACAAGTGGGGTCTAGAGAGGGTAGTGTGTACACAGCCTTACCCCTGCCTTGTGAAGGTAGAGTGGTTGTTTCCAATGGAACCTTGGCCGAACCACCAAAGTAACTCATATAAAAAATAGTATGAAAAGGAAATAAGTAGTCCTTTTCAGTATGTTTAAAAAAGAAAACTTTCTATGTTTAGTAACTCTTTAATTGCAAAACTCCACTTGGCTGGTGTAAGACCACGAGATTCAGAGGTCATTTTGGCACATTATACACATCTTTAATTTAGAATCACACGATTCAGAAGTCTTCTTAACTTAAAGTTCACATCTCATCAAACGAAGACATATAAAATGAAATGTAGGGAGTAATACAATTGAAAAGAAAACATAGGTTCATCTAAATGTACAATTTTGATAATCTCCTTATTACTTAATTGGGAGGTTTTTGCGAAGAATGTTTGAATTTTTTTTTGGATAACTGTGAAATTTACGAGGGCCAGTGGGCAGTGGCACATGGTTCTGAACTCTGTTGATCTGAGCTTTTCCACTTAAAAACCAAGATTTTGCCTGTGGAAGGTCTCGAGCTTGTGATGTGCATCTAACCCACATCCCACGGATCCTGCCCTGCGATCTTACTACTAGACCAAAGCCCTCGGCACTCTAATATTGGAAATTAATGTCTCCTTGGACTTTTTCCGTGGCTTTCTTAATGCATTTAGAAACTTTGGTGTATTGTGCTAACAAGGAAGAGTTATTGTGCTGTTGTTAATGCGTCTTTGCATGAGAGTGGTTCAGCTCAACTACTGAATAACTTTTGGTGAGTTGAGTTTTTTAGGTTGTATTCATAAAATGCTTCATTCTCGTTTTAAATCTCTTTACACCTTTGATGAGAAATCACAGGTTTTATTTTACCATTTGATATATTTGATGTTCTTTTTATAGATTGCTTCTTGACTTACTAATTATGGAAATATATTGACCAATATACATCTTTTTGATAAAGTTAACTAAGTATACATCGAGTTACATTTTATATATTTCTCTTTCTTATGAGTGTATTCCCAAGAGAATGGCACCTTTCTATATTTGGAAGCCTATAAATTTTGAACTTCCCATTTTACCCTTAATGGCTTGCTCTTTACAGTGTCATGGCATGTTTAAGACCACAAGTTTTAAGGGTAGTTTTTGTATGTACCAAAAGTCTTTCTTTTTGTCTTAAGCTCCGTGAACAATCTAATAGTGCCATACAAAATAAAATTGAGGGAGTGACTGATTAATTTAATGGCTAAATAATGTACTTATTAATTAATAAATGTTCGTGGTCCCAAGGTTTTTATTAGTACATCGACATATAGTTGAATTTATACCTCTGGGACTGCTGTATTTTTTCAATAATTAATAGAGTATTTCTTATTGTTATTCAGGTCAACAATGCACACAGTTATTCTTGTATGGACCTTTACATCTTTGCAACTCCATATCGTGTGACATGGGATTACTACGCTTTATCTCGTGAACATACTGTTCAGATCAAAGAGTGGGAGTCTCAAGCTGAGTTAGAATATGTGAGTTGCAATTATAAATGGTACTTCATGGACATTAATATAAGCATCAGTTATGATAAGAGTAATGGACTCTAAAATACAAATGCAGGTGAAACGCAAAGGAGTCTCAATTTTCCTTATGCAAGCAGGAACTTTAGGAACCCTTAGAGCACTATGGGATGTTTTCCCTTTGTTCACAAACACTGGATGGGGTGAAAACTCAAATATCGGATTTCTGAAGAAACACATGGGTGCTTCATTTGACCAACGTCCTCAACCATGGGTCAGCAACCTTACAACTGAAGACATACATTCTGGAGATTTTCTTGCAATATCAAAAATTAGAGGGCGTTGGGGTGGTTTTGAGACGTTAGAAAAATGGGTATCTGGAACTTACGCTGGCCATAGTGCTATTTGCTTGAGGGATGCTGAAGGAAAGCTGTGGGTTGGAGAATCTGGACATGAGAATGATAAGGTACATTAACATTTTTTTGGCCTTCACATGAAGGTACTATTTCCATTGCTCTTTCTTTCATTGGGAGCAAAGACAGATTTATAATTATGTGGTTTCATGGACTTTTATGTTACGTGCTCAACAATCATTCTAGCGACAAGTATGCATCAAAGAATGGAAAGGGACAAAAGTGTCCCTTTTTGTGTATGTCTAAAATAATCCGCATATAGAATCTGATTGTTGCAAGCATGTGGCTTTTGGTTAGACTTTATCATGGTGTCTGGGTTGGCTTCTCTGAGAAGAAGTTGCAGTCTCTTGTTTTAGATATTATTTTCGACTTTTTGATGGATCATAGTAACTAGTAAGGTGGAATTTTTTGCTTCCATTTACAAAAACACATGTTACATTTCATAAGCTTCTTTCTTTATTATATTTGTACTTTCATATATCAACTGTGGCATGCATTCAGATTATGGAGTTCATCAAGTGGAAGATGAAACATGCTCCTCTCCTTCTTTTTGTGCATTAGAGATTTTTACCTTTTCCTACATGAGATGCAAAGGATATCAGTGTATTGCCACCGAACATTACAGAGTTAGCATAATTGAGCTTTGAGAGTCATTATGTTCCAAAAATAGTTGCGAGAAAAAAATAATTATTTCAGTGGAGTTAAAGGAAAAAAAAGAGGAAAATCTTCAAGAGTCTTAAGCTTTTCTTTTTCTCCTAGTTTCTTAGTCGCTTTCTGAGGTAAAGGAAAAAAATAAGAGAAAAATCGTCACGAAGCTTATTTTTTCTCCCTAGCTTCTGTCGCTAGTTTTTGTTTTTACAAAAATTAAATGTTACTATGTAGCTAGAATTCAACTCTTCTTTGCTGCTGTCGTTCTCCTTTCTTTTACTTGGTTCTGATATCCTTATGGTGTAGTTAGCAGCCTATCCTATAGCTAATTAGCTTTTAAGAATGATATCTGGGAGATATGGCTTGTTAGATTTGAAGTGTTCAATTGATTCCGTAGCTAGTGAAAATAAGCACCTTAATGCAGGTACAATAGACATTACCCGATACTACAAATCAATTTGAATAACTTCCGAGGGAAGTGTAGTATGGGGCGGTTTCAGGGTATGGACTGCCTAGTGATGCATATACGAAGTATACAACTTTAAGCATTAGTACAACTATGTGACAGTGCTGAGTTCAAATGCCATGTTGTATTGCTATCATATCAAATGATGTGATCCCTGTACAAAAGTTGCCTTATCTTTAATCAGATGAAGTACTCAGAACACCATGTTCCAAATTGTGTAGATTGAGGTAGTGTCTGGTAGTGGTTGAACCAAACTACCAGGGTAGGTTGGGTGTGAGGTTGAACCAAATAAGAAAACTGTTAGGGGTTGTTCGGTTTGAAGACAAGTTATGCTGGGATTGGTTATCCCGGTATTATTTCTCATTGACTATTTGATTTGTCGTATTAAAAATAACATGCATTGCATAATTTCTAAGGATAAGTTGTTTGTTTGCAAAAATACCCTCCACCTTACATAGTAGAGAAAGGGTTTGAGGGACCTCAGGGGTATTTTTGTCATTTTCATTGTTTTATCCTTGTACTATTATTCCACCCTCTGGCAGGATAACTTATCCTGATACTAATCCTTGGTATAACTTATCCAAGGATTAGTAACCAAACAAGGGATAAGACAATACTAAATTTTTATCCCAAGACTATCTATGACTATGCTTGTCCAACATACAAAACGACCCCTTAAAAGTGGATAGACATGATTACTGTTAAATTATGAACCAACTTGTTTGTGTATCTACTTTCAGGGAGAAGATATAATTGCTATGTTACCCTGGGAGGAATGGTGGGAGTATGAACTGACAAAAGATGATTCCAATCCACATATTGCATTGCTGCCTTTGCACCCTGATCTCCGTGCCAAGTTTAATCAGACTGCTGCTTGGGAATATGCACGAAGCATGGCAGGCAAACCATATGGTTTCCATAACCTAATATTTAGCTGGATAGATACTATTGACGGAAATTATCCCTCTCCCTTGGATGCTCATCTGGTATGCACCATCTATTCTTTCTGATCATAGGTGTGCCAATTTTTCTCTTGTTTTGAAGTGTTTCCTTCCATAACCTTTTAATAATCCTTTTACTTTGTAATTCTTTTCATTTGACACTTTATTCAATTTTTCTGCTTTGGCTCAAGCATTGACCTACGTTCTTTCAGATAAAGATTGTTATTGACTGGTGCATTTAAGATTCTAGACGTGTGAACTGTGAACTGAAATAAGTGATTAGCATGCATGTGCCTTTTCCAAGAAGACTATTGAGCTGGTCAGGTTTTGGTGTGTTGAACAATATGTTGAATTGGTTTTGATTTTAGTTTTATGTTTTTTTTATAGAATAGATCTTCATTTTTACACATAAGAGATTCGAAAATAACACACGAGATCTTTGCATGATCATTTTCTTGCATCCAAATTGTAAAGCATCCAAGTGACTGGTTTCCACTTATTAGCTTATGATAGCTTAAAGTTCATCAGAAGGTTCATGCCATATCAATTTGGCTGAGATGAATTGATATCAGCAGCTGGTTTCGTGGAAATATAACCAGACTCTGAACTGCCAATGGTCAGTGGGGATCTAAAATATAATCTTATGCACTGTTGTGCGGATGTTCTTTTGTGCAAGAACATCAAAATATCATATGATGATGCTCACACTTTTATTTACTTTTGAGATGTATGAAAGAAGGTTGAACACGAGAAGAATGATGAGTGTATAGTAGGAGACATGGAAATAGTGCTACTGTATTGCTTTAGGCCTCTTAAATTTGGTGCATTTGTGAAATTTCACCAGCTTTAATTTGTTGTTGATATGTTACTCGGTACAGGTTGCTTCTGTCATGACTGTTTGGAATCACTTACAGCCCGCATATGCAGCTAACATGTGGAATGAAGCCTTAAACAAACGACTTGGAACTCAGGTCATATCTGTTTTCTTTAATTAGTGAGCTGCTATTTATTGAGATAAAAGTTGGACAAAAAATACACTCGGAGCAGCTGTTCATCTAAAGATAATACATGCCTCCATTAAATAACTAGTTTAATTAAGTCGAGCAAATTACTATGAAATGAAGAAAGCTGAATAACATAACTATAGTTTGCCCTGAAAATGCACAATGGTTGGTTAAAAGCATGCTGTCAAAATTCTCTAGCAAAAAGCCAAGAGAGTGCAGGCTTGTTCCATACATCTGATATGATGGACAACTAATGTTGAATGAGGATCTGAATTTTGTGTCCATGCAGGGCCTTGATCTTCCTGATATTCTTGTCGAAGTTGAAAAGCGTGGGTCATCTTTTGCCAAATTGTTGACTATCCCAGAACAGGATGACTGGGTTTATAGTGATGGGAAATCAACATCTTGTATTGCTTTTGTTCTTGAAATGTACAAAGAAGCAGGACTATTTGGTCCACTTGCTAGTTCAATTCAGGTTACAGAATTCACGGTGAGTTCGTTAGATGGATTTTGAAGTTCCATTTTCTGGGTTAGGTGGCTTTTAATTTTCAGTTGTTTGCCCCTGAGCATTGGGGTGCATTAAATGGATGAATCTGAACCTATTGCATTCATAGTAGTATTTTTTGCTTATCCTGTCATATTATTCACATATGCCTACCAAGTATATATTTTGGTCTATCGATTCCCTCTTAGTTACTTCCCCTGTGTCGACTGCTCTATTTTTGTGCTTGGGTTATCCTGAAATGCATACATGGTTTACTTTCCCTTTAAAAAGAAATGTTTCCGCTATACCCTCGACTACTGCAAAAAAAATTCACCAAATAGCCATGAGAGGAGCCAAGGGCCCACGTTTATACTGTCTAAACTTGGTCTATTTTCTGTTTTGGGCCTACTTCTATATATATATATATATATAACTCTTGCATTAACAGTTAGTGAAAGAAAGTGCTTCGACCCTTTTTGGTGCATCTAACTCAAAGGCATATAGAGTCTTGTATCAAATTTCATTGAGATACTAATAAACTGGTAGGGTTCTACAGTCCATGCTTTCATGAGGTAATGGTCTTAAGTTCTCACTTGTTGTTTCGAAGTGCAGATAAAAGATGCTTACTCACTCAAGTTTTTTGAAAACAATACAAATCGGTTGCCTAAGTGGTGCAATGCGGATGACACAGTGAAGCTTCCTTTCTGTCAAATTCTAGGGAAGTACCGTATGGAATTGCCTGGATACAATACAATGGATATATATGCCCATATGAACGAAAAGTGCCCATCAATGCCTCCAAAATACTACAGGCCACAAAGTTGTTGACAATGATTTTTATGCCTAGCTATCTTGCTGTAGTTTAAGGTATGTATGTACAAGGATTGTTGTTCCAATGCTTAACAGGTTAGTGTGACAATTGAGTTAGATTTATACCGAAATTCGTAGGAAAAAAGAAAGAATGCTAATGAACTAGTATGTCAAAGCAGACTTGGAATTGAAGTGTAAATAATATAGTAGTAGTTTTGTTGATTTGTTCTAACTTTATAGATCCTGAAACAATCTGCAGTTAATATTACCACAAATTTGTTCTATTTCTTTTCTATTGTGGAAGACTATATGTTGTATAAAAAGTACTGATATACTGTAAATTTGGAAATGGCAAGTGATTTAAACAGAAGTTGAATAAATATTAGTTGAAAATCCCATCAAAAGTTTGATAATCTTAAACAATGTAATTACTACTCCCTTCGTCCCAATTTAAGTGTTTTACATTCATTTTTGTCTGTCCCAAAAATAGTGCATTTTTCTATATTTAGTAAGTTTTTTAATTTCAACATTCTACGTAACAAGACTATGAGATTTAAAGAACTACACACGTCTTTATATTAAAAGTACAAGATTCAAAAGTGCCGATTTATTTCTAATACTCCGGGGTCTAGTCAATTGAGACACTTAAATTGAGACGGATAGAGTATTATATTTACATATTTTGAAGTCAACGCTAGTTTAGTTGATGGTTACCAGAGTAGAATCACTTTCTTTAGAACCCCAAAATTGGCAGCTAACATGATCTTATACTTTGCTAGAAATGGTCAAACACTTAAAATTAGGTAGAAGGAGTTTGCTCATTCACAATTACCATCACTAAAAAGTTGACTTTCTTATGTTATGGAGTTTCGGAGATTGAATTTTGTTACTTCAGTCCTGTATAACTAATCAATTGCACTCCTTTATTTTATACGCTGGCAAAAAGAACGGGAACATGACGAACTCAGTTGCTCCCAATTCAAGAATATAAATTCAAAAAAATTTATATAGGAGCTCGTCGAATTTCATAGAGTTTCGGCATTTTTCAATTCCCAAAATCGCAACTATAAACTCAACTAACCCAGTGTTTTCAGTTTCAAACAACTAACAACCAACATTTTAATCAACAAGTTTCAAATATGAAGATCCAAGACACACATGTACAATTTTTGACCTTTTGACGTTAAACAAAGTTCAAAAAATAATAAATCAAAGAAAAAGGAAAAAATAAAATAAAATTTTCACTTGTCAAATGAGTAGATTTCTGATTTCACTAGTCAACATAAAAATATTGTTATGGCTTTTCAAGGGTGTAATAAATTTAATTTTAAGAAGTTTAAATTGAAGTGTGAAGTCGGAAATCCGGATATAGGTTAGGAGGACGAACTATTTTCTCTAAGAAAACCACTTATTTTCCCGAAAAATATTCTCATGCAGAACACACACCCCTCTCACTTTCTGTCTCTACCATTGGAAAGAATGAAAGAAAATTGAAAGGCCACTCTTCCTCTCTGATCCTACAAAAGCCTTGTACTCGAGCACAAAGAAAGTAGCATTTTAGACAATTTCTTCATCACATCACCTAAAGAGCAAATTAAGAAAGTAACAAAACAATGACCCCTCTAAATGCTAAACATAAGAGCTTTTGATTCCCAACACTTGACCATTTTCTGGTCTTTTTTCGCCCCGGATGTGTCATTCCATGGAAAAGACAAGGTACAACTTCAGAAGCAATTGAACCACATCCGTATGAGTGTTGTCAAGGTCTCTCCGAGCTAAGGGATGCGAGACATCAGATATCACTTTTGATTCCTCTCTTTAACCATCCGTGTTTGGACTCCTCGCTCTAATAAGCTCTTCGCCACGAAGCACCTGGTTCTCCATCAGATTTTCCTGCACTGCCTTCACTCATGAAATCACAATTCTTTCAGGATTTACACAGAATGGATGTACAATATCTAGAATTTGAAATGAGCAGGATAGGTTATCACAGTTTACCTGTAAAAGCTCTGTCATCCTGCCAATCCCGTAATTCATCAATGGCTTTGAAACAGAGATGGGAAGAGGGGAATCCATAGAATCGCTTGTTTCTATAGAAGGAGGCTCATTCATGTCGCCAATATCTCGTTCCACGACCACATTCAAGTTCCCTGCTGACAACTTATGAGAGGCCTCAACGCCATTGGTCATTTCAATAAGTGATCCATCAGGTGGCAGCGTAGCCAAGGGAGCAACGGTTTGCAAACTTCTCTCCTTTAGAGCAGCTGTCATATGAGCAGCTTGGGATGAATCTGGAGGAGCTTGTGTAGTAGGTGGCAATCCATTGGTCGGGTTGACAGGTTGAAGGACAACTGGAACAACAGCACTGCGGGCTCCCACCAAATGGCCAGAAGGAGGAGCTGTTGTTGGAGCCGATAAACTTAGCTGAGGCCTCCGATTATGGCCATGTACCTGAATTTGGTTTCTAATGGGTAGATGAATGTCATTCCTTATAATCATCGGAACATGTGGTGCTACGTCATTTTCTGCTGTGACAGGATCAAAATGCCCCGGCTTAAAAACAACACCCCTGAAATTTAAGTCGCCAATCCTAACATTCAGAAAATAACCAGCATCAAATGCAGTTTCGACAACACCTGTAACAGCCTGACCTATCATTTCATCATTTGCAACATTAACCGTATCTACTTGTTGGGGTCGGATCTCTTTTGTTTGTTTAATTCCTGATGGAAAATGAGCAGTTTTTACACGCTTTAGGTTGCTATCCTTGCGTGGCCGTCCTCGCCCCCGCTTGACAGGAAGAGTTACTGCACCATAGGAGCTGTTCCCTTGAATAGCTTCTTGGCTCATTCTCAGAAGTTGCTGTCAAGTATCTAAACTTCCGTCCTGCTAGTCTTTTGTAGTACTTGCCTGGAAAAGATCAGCTCTTATTTTGACTTGGAATAATTATTAGTATAATAATGTATCGCTTCTATTCTAGGATTGCAGTTTGGGATAAAGGTGGAGAATCCATTTAGGTTTCCAAGCTAAAAGTTAGTACAAAAGCTGGACAGTGAAGTGTTGAAATGATAAGTTAAAACTTAAAACAATGACTGTAACGGTTAATGGCATATAGAGAGATTACGAATTAGGCTTTTTTGACAGGTAAGTGTGTAAAGGTCAATAAGAAATTAGATTAAACTGGCATAACCATCAAATAAGCCAAATATGATGATCATAAAAAAAGTTTAGGAACAGAGACAGACGAGTAAATATTATTAGGAGAAAACAATTATAACTTCATGGTACTTTTATTTTGAGTCGAGGATCTATCGGAAACAATCTCTATACCGCAGAAACGTAGGGGTACATCCTACCCTCCCCAAAGCCCACTTGTCGAATTACATTGGGTATGTTGTTGTTGGTTAATATCCAAGACTAAGTAGGACTCAGCAGATTCGCATAAAAGGAATTCTTCCAAATTCCTTTTTCTATCTTCCCTTCCCTCTCCCTTCTTTTTGCCATCTAAGTTTATTTTTCATGGTGAGTTATGTCTTAGACTGAAAAGAACAAAGATGTACGGAAGGAATTTTTTATCATGTGTCCAAGTTGCAGGATAGTTGTTAACGTCATTTCTCCATCAGTTCGTTAGTAGGACCAAAAGGCAGAGCAGTACAACTAATGGCTCTAAGTAAGGAAAAATGCTATCGACAACTCAGAAAAGCATATCTGATACCCATGTAACTACCCAAAGCAAAAAATGTCATGCCACAAGACACAGCAACTTTATCCAGCCCAGAGCTGAGTTTAACATACCTTATAACGGGACTAGTGAAACACTTCTTTCCTAATCAGAACATTTATGCACATGTGTGACAAAATTGTTGGGCGAATAATATACATAAAAAAGCAACAGACATGGACCAAAGTGATAAGTCAAGGAAAAAAATGATAATATTTAAACCAGATTTACTGCAAGTCATCAGCAAGGATATATAACCTTTGTACATGAACATGTGATTTGGTTATGATTGTTAAAGAAAATCAATATCTGAAAGTACTTATTAATCTAATCCAATAATGAACAGCTAACAGTACAATTAACTTATCCCATAAAGCCCAAGTCACGGAACTACATCATCAAAATATTGCAAAAGGAAAATGTACACCCGAGGTTTTTGAACCAACAAGCAGGAAAAACAGAAGATGACTGCAAACCATCTTCTAAAGATGGCGCGGTATTTTAGGAAGAAACAGAAAAGAAGTATCCTCTCAAATGCGGAAGGGTGCGCCAATGGCATGCATTTAGGTTATCAAGTACAATTCCTAATATATGCATGCAATTCTAAAACATCAACTAAGAGATTAACAAGACACGAGTATTTTTGCTCCAAAGCAGTCAAGATAAATAATAAGCTTGTGGTGGAAAGTTTACTACGACCATGATTGCTCAGATACTGTGATGCCACTTTTGCCAATTCTTTAACTTTTGAAATGCTATCTGATGAATTATTAGAAAACAAACTCAAAGTACACTTACTGATTCACCAGCGGAGCTGAAGAGCTAGACTAAAGCATCTTCCATTTATAGTGGAAGTATACTAACCAGAAGCAAAGAATATTTGAAACTACTTTCGAACCATCACACAGATTCCGATTCAACTACCGTAAGAACAAAATGGAAGGGCAAAAAGGATTCTATGAGCAGATGTGAAAGCTCTATCAATAGAAAGATTCTAGCTTTCACTTACATTGTTATCTGAATTCATCTGGAAACACCTCAACTGAATTTTTACAAGACATCACATGATAAATGCATAGCAAACTTGGACTTTACACTAGGGAAGACCAATAAAAGCTCTTACTCACTCATAGCATTGGAATTATCAAATGTATAATGTTGATTCTCATTTCACCAATACTTCCTAGAAGTTATACTGTCACTTTTGATAACCGAGTTATCCCCGGTGAGTTAACACACTGAACCCCAATTGGCCCATATGTTCGAAACTTGGGGAATATCAGCTCGCTCCTCTGGCCTGATCCCAGGTAAATACTAAGCTCCTTGTCGATGGCAAGGTTCAAACTCGTGACACAAGTTCTATCCATGAATCCCATGTTATCTCCTTTACCACTGAACCAAAGTCCTCAGGGAGAATCCCGTTCTTTTCTTTTTTTTGGTGACGGTGGAGTCCATGCTAGCCAGCATGCACCTCAATTATTCCATCGGATACTTGCTATCTCACTAGTATTGGGTAACTCAGTCCATTAAGACTTAGGCAGATGAAAATAAATTATCTAGTGTTTTTGCCTCCGCAGGGATTTCAACATGAGACTTCAAGGTTCTCCTCCCACTTCATCGACCATTATAGGGCCGACCAAAGTAGACACTTAAACTTGTACAAAATTGAACAAATAGACAAATGTGTGCTACGTGGCATCCTACATGGCAATTTTCATCCTACGTGGCGTTCTATGTGTATTATGTCACGTACGACTCATGTGTCTACTTGTTCAATTTTATACACGTTAAAGTGTCTACTTGTGCACATCCAAAGTTGAAGGGCATAAACGTAAAATGAGACCAAGTTAAATAACACATTTATGTATTATGCCCTTTTTTTCTCTTCAAAATTTCGGTCATTGCATCAAGCTTATTGAAGCAATGAAAAGTAATATCTAGTTATCAACTAGATGAATTGGATTTCATTATCTATTATTTTGCATCTAAAATTTGTTGTTTTTGACATTTTTATTTCATAGACTGATATTGTCTCTTTAGTTACTTGTTAGAATTTAAATATGATAATTAGAAAATACACACAATTTCAGTTATTCAAAAAAAAAAAGAAAAAGAAATGCTGAAGCTTTAATACAATCCCACAAAGGAACACTTGATATTATTTTAGAAAACAAAAGAATGATAAATCTGAAAATGTATTTCAAGAGTTAGATGTTTTAGAAATTGAAAAAGGAATTATTAAAAAAAAATCAATTATAAATAAATTTGAATATGAATACTAGAAAAATAAACTTCAAAAAAAAATAATTAAAAATTCTTTGACATCTTTTCGTAATTCTATTAAGTTTGAACATAAGGTCTATTTATTCCAGAAGCAAAATAACTACTTATGAAATACTGAAACTGAACGAACAAACATTAGATTTATTTTCAACGAAAAAAATTAAAATGCAAAATGCATAAAAATATACAAATTTCAATCTTTAACACAATTAAAAACAAAATCAACAGTTGCCGACTAAAAAGAATAAAATGCATAAATTAACCTTTAAAAAAAAAACATACCTTGAATATTAGCCTGCTAGAAGATAAGAAGAATTCAAAAAATGGGAGATAAACAAACAGTAGTTGTGGTGAAATTATAAACCCTAGATTTTGTTAATTAGCAAAGATGGAGAGGAATAATTAGGTAATTAATTTACTCTTCTCTAGAATTTAAGAGTGAGGGGGGAAGGATTGACATTAATGATATCATTTTATTTTATTTTGCCTAGAGCGTGAATAAAGAGAGAGAGAATGGCATTTTTGACTCAATTTATGTGATGTAATTTAATTTAGCACGAAATTTTTATAATAATATTTAAAATTTCAATCTAAAATTAGTCATTCATAGAAAAAATCATTTTGGCCAGAATTTGATCAGAATGGTAAAATAACATATTTTACACTATGTTATTAGAACTGTCAATATGGGCTAGCCCACCCCATCCGGGCTAACCTGTACATGCTTTGAAATTGACGGGTCAGGCCGGGCTAGCCTATATTTGGTGTGAACCAGAAAATGGTCGACCCAGCCCACAAGTACATGGGCTACGGGCTTTGCCGGGCCAGTCCTTTTTTTTTAAAGTATTTTTTTAATAATTTTTTAAATTAAATTATAATTTAAAAATATTATCATAAATATTGACAAGACAATATTACATGGTGTTAGTGTTACTACTTGTTAATCAAATCCACAAATAAAATTATCTTTATAATATTTATTAAGTTTGATTTCAAGTAAAAACATAAATAACTATATAGAAATATTAACTTAATTGTTTTCCAATGATCATAATAAAACACAAAAACTAGAAATTTTAGGGAATTTTAATTTTATGTAGTACATAGTTTATAAACATAATTTGTATTTAAATTGTAATATTTCAAACTTTAAACAGATTTTGAGTTTAGACTCTTATTATTTTAAATACTCTATTTTATTTTTATTTTTTAATTAATTTTTATTTGGCCCACGGGCCGATCCTATCCATATTTCTCAAGCCCCACAAATCGACAGACTTATTTAGGCTGGGCTAAAAAGCTCTTTTCTTAAATGGGCTTCAAAAATAATAGCACAGCCCTATAAAATCACGGGGTTAGACCAGGCCGGCCCAACGGGCCTAGCCCATATTGACGGCTCTATATGTTATTTTACCTTTTTGAACATTTTTACTCTTTTAACTTTAATACCTTTTAATTAAAAATGAAAAAAAGATCAATTTATTTTAAAATTAAAAAAAGTTAGACTTTTTAAATTTCTGACCATTTAGCATTACCATTTCTAGTTGTGTGATATAAATAGCTGATTAGACATTTGAGCACTCAATGATTTTCGTGAGTTTCTCATATATTACAAAGTATTTTGCGTCCTCTTTCACAACTATTTAGATTTTCTATTGGGTTGTCCGACTTTTAAGTATGTCAAGGGTAAATGAATATTTTAAAATTAAATTATTATTATATAGAAATGTGTTATTCTTTTTAGATTTTATTAATAAGGAAAGCGAGTTGTATCAATTGAAACTTTATGTTCAATTTCGTTTGATTTTTTTTCTTTTGTTTTTTCGTTTTCAAAAATGATGTTTCTTTATTTATTTTTTTAATTTTAATTTTTCTATATGACTATTTTAGAAGATAAACAAAGATATTTCGATATTTTTATATATTTTTAATTTAAGATTATTAGATTAAAAAATATTACTCGCTCTAGTTCAAAATGAATAAATTTTTGACCATTTTTTTGTGGTCTAAAATGAATATAATGAATTTTTCAAAACCCAAAGATTGTATGAATTTTATTTTTTTTCAAAATTATCTTTTATTTAATGGAATTTTCCACAATACGTTTTAGGAGAGTTTTGAAAAGAAGCAAAAAGGTAATATTTACATATTATCTTTTAATTAAGAAAAAATACATAAAAATCCCCCATAAACTTGGAAGTATAATTTATCTTAGCACTTAATCTACACAAACGTTTAAATACTCTCTTAATATCTTTTAAGTGATTTAAACACTCCTAAGGAGTGACATGACAAAGAGAGTGATTATGTTCTCCTAAAAGCATGTGAAAAAGGAGAAAAAAATGCTGAATTTTGTAAAATTGTACACATGATTTATTTTTTTTATTGGTCAATATATAATTAATAAGTTTAATAGTTTTTCTTAATATATTACCTCTTTAAAAAAATATGTAAATTTTCTTATTTAGAGGTAATGGAAATTTGTGGGTCCCCTTTTTGATTTCTTTATGTTTTTTCTTTTCATTTTGTTGTATTCCCCAAAGCACCTCTTTCTCCATTGAATACCTATTCCTCCGTCTTGATCCCGACTTCTATCCACTATTTTCATTTCACTAGAGAGTTGGAGAATGTACGTACATTCTCACAATTTTTTGAGTCATCTCTGGACATTTAGGGGCCAATTATCAAGAATTAGGCGATTTTCTTAATTTTTCATGTATGTTAGTCCGTGAATTGGTGATATCACTTTCATACATTTTTTTTGTGAAACTATTATGGATCTCTCCATATGGAGTTGGGGGAGCTATACGTACAGTCTCACAATTTTAGAGTCATTTTAGGCAAATTAGGGGCCAATTTATAGGAATTAGGTAATTTTTTTCCAATTTTTCATGTGTGCTAGTCCATGAATATTTTGAAGATATGACTTCCAGACAATTTCTTTGTGAAACCTTAAGGAACCATTTGTAGGAAGTTGGGGAAGCAGTGCGTACAGTCTCACAATTTTTAGAATCCATTTTTGGGCATTTAGGGTCAAATTTACAGGAATTTGACGATTTTCTTATTTTTTGTGCGCGTAAGCTCATGAATATTTTGGTCATATGCCTTCCGGATGATTTCCTTGCAAACCATTTATGGGACTTTCCGTAGGGAGTTGAGAGAGTAGTACGTACAGTCTTATAATTTTTTTGAGTCATTTTTGGGAATTTAGGATCAATTTACAAGAATTAGGCGATTTTCTCAATTTTTCGTGTGTGTTAGCCCGTGAATATTTTTGTGATATGACTTCTAGACGATTTCTTTGTGAAACCTTTACGGAACCCTCCGTAGGGAGTTGGGGGAGCAGTACGTACAATCTCACAATTTTTAGAGTCATTTTTGGGCAATTAGGGCCCAATATACAAGACGTAGACGATTTTCTGATCAACTTTTCGTGTATGTTAGCCCTGAATATTTTTGTGATATGAACCAGATGATTTCTTTGTGAAATTTTTACGGAACCTTCTGTAGAGAGTTGGGGCATTGGGGGAGAAGTACATATAGTCTCACAATTTTTAGAGTCATTTTTGGGCAACTAGGGGCCAATATACAGGAAATATGCGATTTTCTTAATTTTTCGTGTGTTAACCCATAAATTGTTTGGTGATCTGGGTTCCGAACGATTTCTTTTTGAAACTTTTATGGAACCCTCTATATGGAGTTGACGGAGCAATAGGTATAGTCTCACAACTTTTAGAGTTATTTGGACAATTAGAGCTCAATATACAGGAAGTAGGCGATTTTCTCAATTTTCGTGTGTGTTAGCTCATATATAATTTTGTGATATGGGTTCTAGATGATTTCTTTATGAAACCTTCATGGAATCCTCCGTATGAAGTTGGAGGAGCCGTACATACCGTCTCACAATTATTAGAGTCCATTTTGAATATTTAGGGGCCAATTTTTTTTTACAGGAATTAGGTGATTTTTTCAATTTTTCATGTGTATTAGGCCATGAATATTTTAGTGATATGAATTCTGAACGATTTCTTTGCTGAGCCTTTACATTATAAAAGGTTTCCTCTTCAAGTTTTCTAGGCTTATATATAAGATATATTAATTTCTCTCCACTTAGAATGTCAAGAAAATTACACCATCAGTTTATTTTTAGAAATACTTATTTCTCTTAATTTAATTATTATATTTTCACATTTAAAGATTAATGATTTTTCAGCTTCCCTTTTTTTCTTTTTCTTTTTCTTTTCTAAAATACGTTTTACAGATTTAAGATTTTTTATTTTTGAAATTACATTCAAATATTTTTGATACTATCGACTTCGAGTATTATTTAAATAAATCAAAGTACACATGATGATATATGGATCAAAATTTGTTTTCAATTTTTTTTTTATTGATTAAATGAACTAAAGAAGAAAAAACACATTCAAATACTTTTAAATGTAAAGTATCACCCGAAAAAGAAAGAAAAGTAATTTGAAAACATGATCCCCTCTGTCTCTTTTTCTCTCCATTTTCTTGTCATTTTGGTTTAGTACTCTGCTTTTATTTTATAAAAAATATATACTCTCGTTTTAATGTGAATTGTAACAATTATTTTAAGGAATATTTTTAATTATATTTATATGACGAAAATTACAGTTTACGATATTTTAACTGCATAAACTTTTTAAATATTTACATATTAACTTGAAAATTTTAAATTAGTTTTTATCTAAATTTTAATTTTAAAGATTAATTAAACCAACCTCAATAAGTTAAAAACATTCAAAAAGTTTGACAATAGAGTTCCTGCATATTGACTACTTAAAATAAGAACTTCTATTTTCCATCGATTTACAGGTTTAACCTTCGATCGAGCTACAAGTACGAGTAGATAGGCCTTTAGGGGAAGGAGAAGGTCGGTTGACCGCTTATCTTTTCAAACAATCTACGAACTCCGTAAATTGAGACAGAGAGAATAACTAAAATAGACGTAGAAGAGATCAATTAAACTTTACAAAACAACTAATTGTCATTTTTATATATAAAAGATCTGAAAAGAAGATCAGTTTCTTCTGTTCAAATTTGAAATTGATTAGAGATCTCATTTCCTCGAAACTCTCCTACTATATACACTACATATAGACAAATTAATGATAACCCTTCCTAACTCCCAAAAAAAAAAAAAAATTTAAAAAATCACCTAATTTATTAAATGTCTTCTGGTATACTTTGTAACGCAGGCCTCCATGAGTTGTTATGCAGTTCAAATCTTTCACTAACGTTCATCAACTGCGTCAACAGTTGATGAACGGATAAGCCTTGAACGTCTGCTTTACCCATCAACTCCGTCAATTGCGTCTTCGTGATCTTAACCTTAACCTCTTTTATTATAGGTATCGAAGAATGAATGTTTTCCTTACATTCTCCTATGAGGAGTTGATGATGATTTTCCTCT